GACGCAAGTTGCTCACCAATTTTGGTCGTTTTGGTGACGACGAAGGTGCGCCAGATGTGTTGCTTCGCCAACAGGGCGACTTCCAAAGAAGTGCTTTGAGCAGATCCTTGATGATTGAAAAGGTCTGTATGCACAGTACATAGGTAGGCATTGTTTCAATAGAGCATTCATGCTGGTGAGCCTCCACAAGCTTGACATTCAGTGCATTCATGCCTGATACAATGCAAAGACAAACCCTTCCAAAAACTTGAGAAGACTGGCACCAACAAGTCTGGACGCACACCACACAAATCTTTTTCACGCCATTTCGCCCCAAAAGTTTGGATTGCTTTGCCATTTACATCGCGCTGAGGTCAAAAAGACATGGTTATAACCAAGTTAATGAAGGGCGGTAGTTTGGGCATGGCAATTGCGGATTAAAAGAGATTTGGAGTTGAGAAAGATGTGATGCTGTTGTGATATGCTAGTTTGTATGTATGCTGGTATGTATGCTGCGAGTTGGGATAGTATATTGGCTGGGGGTTGAAGCTTCCCCTATAGGGGGAGACTGTGGTAATTAATCCCATAATCTTCATAATAAATAATTATGAAAATTATGTTGGTTGTCCCCATAAATTTGATAAAATAATTCTATTAAATTTATGTTGCAATTATTTTCTAGGACTATTTCTAGCAATTATGATTTCTAGAAATAACACCTATGAAATAGATAAGGTAAGATGATGTATATTTGTATATGCCTTGATGAAAATTATTCAATACAATTATGATTATTATATATAAGTTTTACGGATGAGATGGATGAGATGGGTTGATATGATGAGGTTGTTATGGTTTATGTTATAGGTTTTATTGATAGTAGGTTGTTAGGATTTTGTTATTGTTGTTTTGTTGCTTTGTTTTTGTCTGTATTTTGTTTGTAGTAGGTTGTTTTGATTTTGTTATTGTTGTTATGATTTATGGTATAGACTATTTTATAATCTATTGTATTGTTTAGGTTGTTTGAGTTTTTTGTTTTGTTGTTTGTTGTTTTGATTTATGTTATTGATTTCTATAAGGTGTTGCTCCCCCTGTCTTTGGTATTAACACCATAGAATTTGCTTGTATAATGTGGGGGGTTAGATGAGAAAGACGGGGGAGCACAATGCTAACTATTATATATATATAATATAAACATACAGAATGTGTGCATAGAGTGAGAAGGACTATAGAGTGCGGCAAGACATCGTTCATAGGGCCAGGCAAGTAGGTGGCCAGCATGGTGAAGTGGATCCGTCAATGGCTCCAGCTTGATTTGCATCGAAGGATCCATGAGAACAGCAACAGGTTGGCATCAAAAAAAGTTTGTTAGTATGTTATGATATGTTAAATGTTATGTTGGAGTGTGATTTCCCTCACATACAACTGGTCACTTGCTTTGCAGTCTATGATCAGGATGTGATTTGCAGCAGACTTGGAAACCTCAGTCCATGTTTTTTTTTCTAGCATCATGCCAGTACCTCATGATTTTGACACGTGGTGTGCGAGTCTCGAGAAGTCCAGGCGGGCTGGGAATGGACTAGGTATCCACTTGATCCACAATGGGAGATGACTTCCACGCAGTTTATCGGTTTGTCCTTAGAATCTTGGAATTACATGGAATTACAAATTATAGAATTATGTCATATTGTTTCAAAGATCTTTGAACAGCATGAAATCGCTGGGATGTGATTCTGAACAGATGCCAGAGTTCCCTGTTCCAAGACATTCCAAGCCTGTTGTTTTCCCAGCGATCAACGCGCCAGCCAGGTCGACCCAAGTTTCCCACTCCTTTCAAGCGATCATAGATCAGCTGGTACAACAGCACCTGACCGAGATCACAGAGCTTTCCCAGCTCCGTATATCCAACGAGGACCGTGGATTTCGTCCACGCCACGACTCGAAGCCAAGTCTTCCACTCCTCTATAAATGCAGTGTGTATGCTACACTCTGCTCTGCCATGCTATATATGCTATGCCAGCATACTGACTGTACTACCATGCATTGGACATCTTTAGTACCAGGGTTGGAAACTCATTCATGATACTTGCTTAGGGTTCCAGACAGTGAACTCAAACTGAGACCTAGCCAGCATGTGGCTGACTTTCCGCTGTCCATTACAAGATTCACAATTCCGCTTCGAAACTGAAGAGAATGCAAGACAATACTTGAGTTCACCAGACCAAAACGCGTTGCTATCAATTTGAGGTTTGGAAAACAGGATTAAAAGTACTTGCACATCATTTGTCGAGTTTCTAAAACCCCTTGCTGCATCTCATTTGCCCACTGCGAAGGATGAGAATCGAAGTGCTCCAATGAGTCCTCAAAGTTCTGCAATGGACCAGGTGACTCAGGTGACGTACTTTTCTTGCACGATTCCCCGGCCATTGGTTTCCGAAAAACGACATGCATCACATGACATGTGGTTTTTGAAGATGTTTTTGGGTCCTTAAAGGTAGACCAGCCAGGCGGCTTCGTTTGTCTCCCAGATGGAGCTGGACAACTCGAAGAGAAATCGTACTTCCTTCGGCCTTGGAGGCTATGGATGGCTATGGATGGCTATGGATGGCTATGGATGGCTATGACAATTTGGGTTAGCAGGTGGTCCATGTTCCGATGCAAATTCGTATAGATCCTTGGGCTACCAGTTTGTCATGATTTGCTCAGTTCTGCAGAGGGATCGCTGTCCAATGCACATCAAATCACCAAACGGATCCAAACGGTATATGGCTATGAGTCCAAATAGTCAAAACCCTGGTATCCTGAACAGCACATAGTAAATGGAAGTTCCCCACATAATGGTACAGTATTGTAGGTGTTGAACCATATGAATCTATACATATATAAATGCTTATATAACACTGTGATGTAATGTGCACATATGTGCACAGGATGCATGGTGATCTTCATAGGCACATCCCTTCGCAATCTTTGCAACTGGGAAACTTTTGGATGTTGTGCAGGTTCAGTTTCTGGAAGCATGCAAAGTCTGCAGAGCGCCAGCGGCAACAACAGCCTCACTGGTTCGGCCTCATTGGCCAAGAAGTTTCGCCACCATGCCTTAGAAGCACGACGATGCTTTGCGAAAGAGTTGGAGACAGTTTTCAGGGAGAATCCATCATGGAGTGGTCTCCCTAACTATATATTTGAACGAAAAAGTTGAGTTTGCCCAGTGTCAAAAGATGTTAACATGGCACGCCCACCAAGGTAGATATATCCCAGGAAAGCAAACATGGTTTCCTTTGCGTTTCTTACTGGTGAAGGTATCTACCAGACTCATTAACTTAACAGTAGGGTTTGGACGTGAAATGGTATAATGATGCATAATGTAACTCAAATCCTTAATGGTATAATGGTTGTGTCGCCTTAGAAGGTTCTGATTGTGCCAGCAGTGCTTTCTTTGTGGAGATAGTGCGGTCAGACCTGATCAGTGAGTCAGACCTGATGGAGATGCCTCGCCGTGGAACGCTGAGGAACTCGACATGCAGTTGAAGCGCGTCAGGTGTTGGAGGCCATGGACTTCAAAGATGAAACTGCAGAGCAGTTCTTTGAAAACGAAGCTTGGCATAGCTTGGCGCACTTTGATGCTGATGCTCTACCCGACTAGATCCCTCTAGATCCCTCTAGCCTGGCCAGTTTTCATCAATGCTTCATGAATTGCAGCAGCTCAGAAACCGTGTTTTGATGCAATCTGGCAATCTGGTCGTGACATTCATGTTACACCTTCAGTCCTTTGATGCATCAATTTTAAAGTGCTTCTGTTGTTTCCATGCAGGGGTGTCGGTGGGAGTGGTTGGGCATGGTTGGGTTGACAGTTTGGGGGGCCTTTCAACATCTTTCAACTTTCTGACTTTCTGTGCCAGTGGACTCCACGGTGAAAACACCAAACAAACTTGCTCTGATGCACCGCAGGAGGACCTAACAATGAATTCAACGCCAGCGCCCAACACTTCTGCAAAACATTGGTCACAAGAACTCATGCAACGAACATCAACAAATTACAGTACATGTTCGATGCATTGGTCGGATCTGGGTTCTCTGTTCCTGCAATTCCAGCAATCCCATCGTTCTCACGCGGCTGGTTAGATCTTAAGCGGACACTTGCAGAAACTCTTCAGCTCTCGGTCGACAGCCTTCCATCGTCCCAGGACAGCGAAGATGGCGATGAGTTGCTGTCTGAAGCTGAGACTTTTGCAAAACGGCCTGACACATGCACTCTCAGCGCGCAGGTTGCTCGATGTCCCCAAAAAGACGCATATCAAAGCACTGTAGAGGTAGAGGGCACATTTCAAGATTTTTCAGGTACAGGCTGTTTTCTGAGTGGTGTTTCCCAACATTGTTCCGGGCTCTCCAGGGGTCAGCAGGTGCCATGACAAACCTAGGCCTGCATCGGGTCTCAAAAAGAAGGCGGAACGATTTGGCTCCGACTTCGCCAGGTGGGGACAGGAAGAGCCCAAGCAACGGGGCACCGATGTGGCTTCATGGGAAAAATCAAGCAGAATCAGCCATTTGTAGGGGATTAACCATTCTAGATTCTAGATGGGGATTTGTCCATTGCACTTATATAATCTTATATATATATATATATGGGTATCCAATTATATGGGTATACAGACCAACATGTAGTCAAACCTTGCCAGATTGTTATCTTGCACATGGTTGGGGCCAAGTTTAGCATGTATTTGATACATTTGTCAGAAGTGAGCAAGACAAAAAAAATCAAAAAGACATGTCCACCGCATTCCACCGCTAAAGCTGCCTAAAGATGAAGTCCACTTCCTGACTACTGTATTAGGATTGACAAATATGGTACTGGTAGAAGCAGGCAGCAAGAAAGCCTCGCCATATAGGCACCAGCCCCGTGTTTCGTTAGGTTGCCCTGTTGGGACCGCATGTACATTTGGCTACAATCTCATCGCTTTGATATGCTGATCACATCATTGCTATGTCTCAACGTTTCTTGGCTCCTGGCTTCGTGATGCTTTGTCTCCGACAGAAGGCAGATTCAATTTTCATTGTTTCAAGAGGGCAGAAAAGACACGTTGCACATGAAATTCATTGGGATTTGCACATGGTCATTCATTTGGCTTTGGATAGACTCTTACCGCACTTGTATCACAGGTTTGACTTTGACATTTGGCAGAAGCTTAGCAGGCTGCAGACCCTCACTGGTTCAAAGGTCTTAATGTCTGAACCTCTCCCTCTATTTGTCTGTGTTTCCTCGTCTTTTGCAATTTTAACGTGGTTCAATCCCCCATGTACCAAGTTGCTGTGCATGTGTCTCAAATCCGATCGGCACAGGTAATTTGGATGGGCTTGGAGTTGCAATATTCTGGAGCTTGGACTGGAGTCAAACTGGGCGTCTTCAAGGACAGCACCGCAGGTGAACGGCTGTTTGGAGTTGGGGAGTCTTCCACTGGTTGTAAGTACTCCAGCTGTTTGGAGTTGAACTTGTGAGTGTCAAAAAAAACTGGATTTCTTTGATCCACTGAGACCTGAGAATTGACTTGTCACCACCAAGTTCAAATCGGCATAGCTCAGGACACGGTAGTCCCGGTGCATTTGCGGCCAACATTTGAAACTTGCCATGGCAATTGTCATGGGTCGATTCGAACAGTTTCCCCCTGATGTTTCGATCTACTACTCTTTGTATCTCTTTGTTCGGGGCAAAGCTGCTAATTTTTTCCACAGGCTACTATATACCTGATGTGACATTGCTTGGACCCTGTATGATTCACACACTTGTTGCACAGCTAAGGATGTCATGTTTATGGTCGGAGACAACGTGTTTACGGCGCTGTTTACTGTCGATGTAGTTGTGAGGATTGTGGTCCTCAGGTTGAGACTTGTCTGCAACATGCCAACGGCTCCCTATGCCCAGGTTTTCCCAATGCCCAGATTTTTTTTCTTGTCCCCAGCTGGGTTCCATATTTTCTGTGGAAAATACATGTTAATTTGACAAAGCAAAGCAGCCTTATATGTGTATATAATTAATTCGGAGATGCAACATGGGTTTATGTATGTGTTGTTGTGATGATAACAATGTAAATATGCTCTAGTATGTTGATATTGTAGCTCAATGACAAATACTACCTTTCTGCTAGACCCATTCTGTTCAAGTGGGCCGCACTTCAGCTCTCAGGAAGTTTTGGAAGAATTGCATGAACTACATCGACGTGATAGTGACCTTAGTCCCTCAACCTGAAGATGTTGAAATCCTATCCGATACCTCCTGGTCATCAAACATATTGAATGGGAGATTCCCGAACTAAATGGAGCTTCAAAGCTGGGAAAATCATCTATGGATGGGGAATTACCTTGAATTACCGGATGGTACTTCTGTTTTTTGTTCTTTTGAATCTGAAGAAATTGACCGCATATCAGAGACCGAGCTTGGAGGCATCTTTGCTTCAACTCGTGATCAGCACGTGGACGAATGTGAACCCAGTTCCTTGACTACAAACAGGACATATAAATGCATTGTAATGAAATAATCACACACCTCCACTGTATGATCTTTCCATATCTTTGCTTGAAGTTGTGTGATATGATATGGTGCCTCAAATCTGAGTCTCAGCACATTGGCAGGTTTTATTTCGCATCCTGCGTATTGGCAAGCTGGCGCGAGCCTTGCGAGTTGTGACCATGTCCAATACTTTGGCTTCCTTGGAGCTGCTGACAAAGTGCTTACAGTCCAGTGTCGCCACTTGGTCGCAAGGTTTTGACATTGATATTTTGGTTAGCCCTGCTGCACGTTGCTTTTTTGAATTCACTCTTTGGCATGTCAGGAATAGAGATCATGCTAGCCCCAGTATGAAGCATGACTAAGGGTTCTTCTATTGATACACAAAAGGGGGCAGATGGGGTGTTGGAAAATTGTTCGAAGAGTCTGCACTCCCTTCATGTCGCTCAAGCCTGAGGACATGCTGTTTTGGTCCTTCTGTCTTCTGACGGGAATCCAATGTGTTGCAGGCTATGGGAATCCAATGTGCGGGCCATTTGAGTCACTAACGTTTGAAACCCTAATTTCAAAATTCGATCCTGTTCCGGATGTGTTTCATTTGCACTCAACTTTGATTTTGCTTGCACTTTGTGTGAAGCTTCTGAGGTACAAACAAAAAATATAGAAGCAAACCGCAGACTCTAGGTAAGATGGTAATATCTCGCAGGTTTTTTATTTTTTGGCTGGTGTCTCTTTTACTGTTCCGAAACTCTTCAAAAAGGGAGCGCCCTGCAGGGATGGTGGTGAGCGCCCTATCTCGAGATTTTATTGAGGATGAAACACAGAATGAGAGTATCCGAGAGGATGCTTGGCACTGCAGGGAGATCCTGACGACCAGCACCATTTCTTAACCATTTCTTAAAGACAAACGCCTGGCGTAGTGCAATCAAATCACAGCTCTTAGACCAATTGTTAATAATTGTTTACTTGTGATACTTGTGTGCGCAGACTGTAAGACTCAATACAAGATCGTGTACTCAACACAGCAGCTCCCGACCCCGCAGCCCTTCTTTTCAGTGGCACAGGTGTCAAGCGCCCAAAAGGCTCCTGCAAATGCCGCCAAGTGTCGGCCAAAATATGCCATTGCAAAGTATTTATGTCGGAAACGTCAGCCCAAATGTACTAAATGTCAATACATACGTCAAACAAATGATGTCAGTATGTACATGCCAGATCACGGCAGTATATGCATGTCAATACAATCCAATCCAATCCACATGTTTGCGGGTTGCCGAGGGGTTTGTCAATGTATCATGCAGAAATATGTGAGCAAAAACATATGTGCAAGTGATCCGTCAATGCACCTGTCATTGAAAACATGTACATGCATATGCTTTCGCACGTGCTGGTATGTTAAACAACTGATCACACATGGGTCAGCATCTCTTGGATGGGTTTATTCAAGAACACCTGCTAATTGTACGAATGTTAGAGGTGCACACGTTCATCAATGCGTCAGCCCATGCGGCCAAAACATGCCAGCAAATATGCAAGTACATGTAACTAAATATTTGTCAAAACAATTCCGACTGCAGGTCCGTACGTAGCCTTGTCAACCAATATGTCAGGCATTTGTCATTGTCAATGCCAGATACTGATACATAGCAGTACTCGTACTGTTTTTGTGCCAATACTCCAGGTCCAGTAGAGGCAACATATACAGCAATATAACCTGACATGTTTGGGCATGTGTCAAGGCGAATTTCTAGTCCATGTGCCAGTGCAAATGCCAGTCGACACCTCAGTAAGCACGTCCAAAAACATACAAATCATGCACAGTCACGCGTCAGACCCATTTCACTTGTGTAGAGCCTTTCTCAAAGCCCACTGTCGCAACATGCCAGCACACTGTCAGCCCTAGCCACCACATGTCCGCCAAAATGCCAGCCATGTGTGTGCCGACATCTCAAACGTTTATGTCGATCCCTTTTCTGTGGGCGAGGGCAGCTCAAGTTCGAGTAAACCTACCATGCAGCTTTCGAATGCAGTGTGCGAGAATTCCAAAGAGTTGAGTTGAGACATGATTCCGCAGCTTTTTCTTTTTTCTGATCGAACAATATAAAGCTGAACATGACATGTTATTTTATGCGGGCAAGCCTCCCGCTCCGCCCCTGCCACAATTTCCCAATTTCGAAACTGTTTGCCTCCCAGGAAGTGTTTCGATACTATGGCACCTTCACCCGCACCTTCCTGTCGATGTTTGAGATATTGTTCCTTGAGTGACAAATCGTAGGTTTTTCTACGTTTTTTCTTAACAATATATAGAATCATTTTCATTTTTCCCTTGGTGTTTTTTTTTGCCACAAGTTGTTTCATGCTTTTTCCTCGGTTTTCTTTGGGAACAGGAGGGGGCTCTTGGTGATTTCTTGGTTTTTCTTAGCGTTTTCTTAACTTCTTGGGGGTACGGGGTTTTCTTTGGGTTGCAGGTCTTTCGGGGTCGCTCCAACGTGTTTTTTTCTTATTGATTTGACGCGAACCTAGGTTCGCGAATTGGGGACCACCATGTCGAGTGGTGGTGGAGAACATCAGCGTGACTCGGCAAAAGTCGACCCTGGATGATGATGATCTGATTATCTTCCAATATTTTCCACTGCATGACAGTGGGGCTTAATAACCTTAATAAGTTTGCGTATACCGAATGAATGTGTCATGATGTGTCATGAAGCAGTGTTTCATGACCTCTTCTGCCTGTAGCTAGCAGAGGAAGAATCGTTCACAAAGAAGCCACCCAACCCAATCTTCGGCTGCCAGTACCCAGGAATGGTTCTCCCTTTTTTTTCTGCTCTATCGATGTGTTCGAACCTGAGTGGCACACCAGGTAACTGTAAGTGCTTGCAAAAACAGGATTTGTCGTCCATGAAAGCGACATGTTTCACCTCTCAGGTTCTGGGGTTCGCCGTATTAAATGTGGTCAACGCAGTATTTGTGCCGACCTTAGTCCATAGTTTCCACAGACAACACCAGCAGTGCAGTGGAAAGCCAGTGTGGCACACGAATGGAAATGAGAGGCCCAAGTCCCATTGAGGTTTGAGTAGTGCCAGTTCAAAACCATGTCATGGTGCTTGCTAGGCCGAGGCATTTTGCAATGTGCTTGTGTCTTTCTCTTTGTTCATCCTCGCGGGAGTGTGGGGCAACATGTGAAGAGCAGATTGTGACGCGCGCAATCACGCAGAATGCCCTGTGTTGGTCATAGTTGCGTTTGTGGATTTCTTTTCTGTGCTTATTTTGCCTTCACCGAATGCAAAACGGAGCCAAACTTGCTCCACTGTTTCCTGTTGGTTCTTTGTTGCTTTGCACAGGCTTCGACTTTTGCTGGAGTATCGTGGCTAAGAGAAAACCTCATAACCTGCCGCCCCGACATGTTGAAGATACACGTATAGGCATAGGCTGTTGGGGGCAAGTGGAGAGGGTTGGGTCATGCTGTGACGGGCAAAGAGAAAAAGAGGCCGAAGATTGCTTCGCAAAGCTAGCCGGACAGTATGCCGCCGGCCCAAAGCTCATGCAACCGCAGTGCACAATAGATCCGAATCAGATACAGTACTCTTCACGCCGTGCGCGCGCCCAAACCCAAGGGCGACGAGCATGTGAGGTGATCAGAAAGTAAGATCTAGGTTTGGACATTGACAAGTTGACAGAGACAGGTGTGATAGAGGCAGGCACAGTAAGAAGATTCATGCCGGGGACGACTTTGGATAGAGATAGCTTTGGGCAAAGAACGCTTCAACTGAGTTGCATCTGACGTGGAAGAGGTCGATCGAGATATATGGCGATATATCGCGATAAAGTATGACAAAAAAACATGTAAGGTTGGTAGGACAGAAACACGGAGAGAAACACAATTGATACATATTTGGGCTCAGAAAATCAAAACGATAAATTTTGGAGAGGCTGGAGAAAAAAGAGGCCGCGCAGGTGGATGGGGAGGAGAAGAAGGCTGGGATGTAGGACAAAAACAATCAAGGGCCTGATAGCCCTACATGTTCAATGTTCCCATCAATGAACCAGCATGTAAAAAAGGAGAGCAGATCACACTTGACAGGTTCTGAGACAGACAAAGGTGGACAGACAAACAGGTAAATCTAGACATGCGGAGACCAGTTCAGAAAAAAGGCTGAGGTCTTGTGAGATAAATGAGCTGAGGAGATAGGGGCACATAGAAAGATAGATATTAAGAGAATTTGAGATAACATAGAATAAACTAATTAGGGGTCATACTTCCACCGCTTTGATTGGAAATAAGTTGCTCGAAGTCCCCCCCGCATAGGCTACCTCTGCAGTTCGCGTAGGCTTCGCGTAGACTTCACGTAGCCTTGATGAGTTTAAAGCGCTAAGCTAAGCAATAAAAAGCATAGCTCCTTTGCGAAGCATTCATGAGAACAGATCTGGAGATAGATTGTCTAGAAACAGATTGATGCAGATTCAGCTGTGAAGAACATGGAAATCAGGTTGCGATTAGTCAACGCGTGTTCCATGCGACACGCAGTGCAGAGGCGCACCCAGACCTCCATGTGAAACGCCAGAAGAACCCACCCAGCTGATGCCGAATTGTGACGTGTTCCAGGGCGTGAGTCCTGCGTGTCGAGTGACGCTATGGCCTCCTGTGCATTTGTAGGTATCTCATCTGCGCTAAGGTGCAACAGACGATGAAAACTGCCAGTTCAGATGAAGAACTAGCCTTCAAACAGAAAGAACGCGATGTGGCTATGTACACTCGCAAGGCGGGGGTGTTTATCCCAAGGCCCAGCGGAAGAGTTGCACTTGTTTAAGTAGCTAGAGGTCACTTGTGTTCACCACATTGTTGGATGGATCATTAGGGTTTCCGACCCTTCTGCTGAGCCAGGTTCGCAAATTGTTTAACTCGATGGATGAGACGGGTGACGGCTGCTTGAACCTCGAGGAGTTTCAGTTGCCTGGCACAGCTGCATCAAAGATCAAATCAAGCTGGGAATGGATCTTTCTGAGGCTGTTTTGGTCGTCCTGTTTCACACTGCAATCCAAACATGCAATGTGTTTCTTTCAGGAATGTGCGTTTTCAGTCCCTTGAGTCCCTTGATGTTGTTTGCACGGCAGTCTTTGTTCACAAGGTTCACTAGAAAAACGTAGAAAATATGTTTGCAGACTAGCTGTGACAGGGTCTTGGATGTCACGGAAAAACAGCAGTTGAAGCAAACGTGTTTCTCATATATGTCCTTAAGAAGGTTCCCCCAGAGAAATGCATGGAGGGAACCCTTTCTTGGACGCTTCCTGAGACTTCCAAGGAAGTTGGCTCAGTCTCCAAAGCTGAAATTCTGGATGAGCCAGCTGGAGTCGCAGACTATTTGCAACGAGTCATAGGTTGTTGTGTTTAGCAGCTGCCGAGAGTTCATATGATTTCAGAGGTGCATTTCTGACTTGGGAGTTCCAGGTGGCCACCTCATTATATAGATTAAATATATTTGGCGGCTTGAACATTTTTCCAAGCAGACTTGTATTTTTGCCTTGTGAAGGAGCTGGAGTACCACGATCTACTCAGTCTGTTTGAGCGGCTTGCCTGATTCTTTTTGCGTTTTTTGCGGGTGCCCAATGTTCCCGGAAAATCTGTGCAACTAGGCTAACCCTATTTATTACCTCCGTGGAATCAGTGAAGGAGTTCCTGTCTAGACGACACTCGTTTGAGTTTGATTGATGTATATATGAAATTTATTGAAATTTGGACAGCGTCAGAACCATAATTAGTGGAGTTGGAGCACCCTATGCATCTACTTCCCCGCGTATACGCTACATACGTAATTGCAACCTTGGCGTGTGAGGCGTGTCTAAGATGTATGATTACACTTGGTCTTAGCAAATCTGCAAAGTATTCACACGGTCCCAGTCGCAGGCGGGTCGCAGGCTTAAATCTAGGCCGTATATATATTGTGGTGAGCACTGAGACTTCGTCTCTATAGTACTACTTGCATGTGGTTTGCAAGACCGCGCCGTCGTTAAACATGGTATAAGGCTGCTTTGACAATATGGGCACACAACAAATCACAACAACTTCTGTTTGCGAGGGCCATCAAAAAGCAACCCTGTAGAAGACATGAGAAACAAAATACACGTGGCTTGCTGAATGCGTGCTGGGATTTCATAAATGTATGAAGACAGCAGGTCAGAAATACCAGAGCTGGTAAAATCATCGTTCTCACAACTTTGTCACACACAATTTTTCTCACACAACTATGTCACACACAACTTTGTAGCACACAATCTTTCACACACAACTATGTCACACACACACAACTTTGTCGCACACAATCTTTGTCACACACAACTTTGTCACACAGAATCTTTGTCACACACAACTTTGTCACACACAACTTTGTCACACACACACAATCTTTCACACACAACTTTGTCACACAACTTTGTCGCACACAATCTTTGTCACATACACAACTTTGTCACACACACAATCTTTCACACACAATCTTTCACCCACAACTTTGCCACACACACACACACATTCTGTCACACACAACTTTGATAATTATTTCAGACACAACTTTGTCACAATCTTTCACACACAATTGTGTCACTGTCACACACAATCTTTCACACACAACTTTGTCACACACAACTGTTGTCACACACACACACAACTTTATCACACACAATCTTTGTCACACAGAAACTTTGTCACACACAACTTTGTCGCACACAATCTTTGTCACACGCACACAACTTTGTCACACACAATCTTTGTCACACAGAAACTTTGTCACACACAACTTTGTCACACACAATCTTTGTCACACACACACACCTTCGACACACAACTTTGTCACACAGAATCTTTGTCATACACACACACAATCTTTCACCCACAATTTTGTCACACAAGCACGCACACATACACATTCTGTCACACACAACTTTGATATTTCAGTCAGAACTTTGTCACACAACATCTTTGGCACACAATCTTTCACACAACAGCTTGGTCACACACAATCTTCCACACGACAACTTTGTCACACACAATCTTTCGTAGAAAACAACTTTCACACACAACTTTGTCGCACACAATCTTTCGTAGACAACAACTTTCACACGCAACTTTGTCACACACACACAATCTTTCACACATAATTTTGTCACACACACACAATCTTTCACACACAACTTTGTCACACAATCTTTGACAACAACTTTGTCACACACAATCTTCACACAACAACTTTCACACACAACTTTGTCATACACAACTTTGTCACACACAATTTGTCACGCACAACTTTGTCACACACACAATCTTTCACACACAACTTTGTCACACACAATCTTTGACACAACAACTTTGTCACACACAATCTTTCACACAACAACTTTCACACATACGACTTTGTCACTCGCAACTTTGTCACACGCACAACTTTGTCACGCACAACTTTGTCGCACACAATCTTTCACACACAACTTTGTGTGGCAGGCGTGGCACTTTGTCACATCGACTTTCGTGTTTTGCGTGGCATGCGTTGCACTTATGGCACTGGGCTGGATCTGGTGGCGCGCTTGGTCGCCGTTAGTCGCCCACAGCGCCGCGGCACTTTGCGTAGCAGGCGTGTCACTTCCGCGGCACTTTGCGTGGCAGGCGTGGCACTTGCTCACATCAACCTTCGTTTTGCGTGGGAGGCGTGGAGCTTGCTCACATCAACCTTTGTGTGGCAGGCGTGGCACTTGGCGGCATCGACTTTATTTTTGCGTGGTAGGATCTGGCGATGCGGCGTGGCACTTGGTGCGCTTGGTCGGCGTGGCACTTGCTCACATCATCTCACATCAACTTTTATTTTCTGTGGCAGGCGTGGCGCTTGGCGACATCGACCTTGGTCTTGCGTGGCAGGCATGGCACTTATGGCTCTGGGCTGGATCTGGTGGCGCCCTTGGTTGTCGCCCGGGGCGCCGCGGTACTTTACGTTGCAGGCGTGGCACTTGCTCACATCAACCTTTGTTTTGCGTGGCAGGCGTGCCACTTGCTCACATCAACATTTCTGCGGCGGGTGTGGCACTTGGCGAAATCGACCTTGGTTTCGCTGCGGCACTTTGCGTCGCAGGCGTGGCCGTGGCATTTGCTCAGACTCACATCCATGTTGCTTTTGCGTGGCAGGCGTGGCGCTTGGCGACATCGACGTTGGTTTTGCGTGGCAGGCGTAGTTTTCCCCGATAGACAGTCTGTCGTTGTTTTGTCTGTGCTAGCTTCGACCATCTTCGACCCAATGTGGGAAGAAGTGCTTGCATGGCGCCGTTCACCACTGTGAGTTTCAGTTCTATTGCATCCACACTTGCTTTGCGGCCAGGTCCCTATCCCAACTTCTTCATGATCATCGAGCCTATATGAGTGTGTCGTCGGTTTGTCCGTGCTAGCTTCGACGTGGAAATAAGTACAGCCATCCCGGTTGGAATTTCCCTCATAATTTGGGAGGTCGACCCTCTTATAAATGGTTTCTGTAGGGGCATTTTGTAGTTGCAAGAAGCCGCCTAACCAGGGCATTTTGTAACAGGACACCAAAAAGGCAAAGTTGTACATTTTGAAGTGTTCATTTTGTAAGAGTTGAGGGGCCAACTCATTCTATAAGACCATCGAGTTTGTTTTTTTGAGGCTTTTTGTAAGGTCAAGATGCTGTTATTAAACATCAAAAAAACAAAAAACTTAGCAGGGTGTGCAATGACATTTTGTAAGGAGATGTCGTCAAGAGTAGAAGAACCATTTTGTAAGAATATATATATATATATATATGCTTTTTAGGCATTGATACAAATTATTGTTCAGATTGGTACATAATGTTTTTGAATCGACTCAATCATCAGGAGTTCTCGCAGGCAATGGTACCAAAGAAGCAAAAATACAGAAATACAAAAGGTGGCAAAGAAAAGGAATCCTTACAAAAAGGCTTCTTGAAAATCAACGAGACCGGGAAAAAAGAAGCAGGGAACCAGAAGTTGCTGCCTTACAAAATGATACCAAAAAACGCTATCTGAAATCACAACTGTCACAACTTGTTATAAAAAGGTCATCGAGTGGGATACAACATGAAAAAAGTTGTCACCTTACAAAATGATGACGGATTTTAGAGTCGAATGTGGGTGCTAAAAACCTATGCTTTTTGTAAGGGCCAAAATTCCCAAAAAAACGAACCATTGTAGCAAGGATTTCAAAAACCCACCGGTTTATGCTTACAAGAAGCTGGGTGCGATTCGAACCGGAAACCATTTTTTCTTACTATTGTGTTTGCCAGTCTTCACCTAAGGCAGTGGCCCAGTGACCTTTTCCAACATGTGTGATTTATTCAACTGAGCATGTTCATGTTCATGCAATGAAGGTTCAAACATCCCATGTCATGTTCGGCTAGCAAATGGGTCTGGTCACCTCCCCCATGGTGATCGGATCAAGAGATGCAAGAAAACAACGACGGGCCAGCTTTCGCATTCCAGCGGATTTCATGGGATGCTGTCAAAGCCTGTGCTTGTCAGACATCCTGCCAAAGCACAGCTCAACTCTTCCAACATGAACTTTCTCATACTTGCACGCACACACACACATACACACACTAGACAAGAATGGATCATTATATGATCCGGCAGGAACTGAATCCTGAAACATGCAGATTAGATACAAAACAATGAAATTAACGATGCATCCTACGAATAATGCAGGTACGTTTACACGGGTCCCGGGGGGGTGTCTTCGGTGGCCACCGACCCCCCCGGGACCCCGGTGGCCCCCTGCATTGAATTTAGAATTAGAAAGGGAGAGGACAAAGGAAGAAAAAGAGAGAGAAGTTTACATCTATTTAGATGTTACACGCACACTAGACAAGAATGGATCATTATATGATCCGGCAGGAACTGAATCCTGAAACATGCAGATTAGATACGAAACAATGAAATTAACGATGCATCCTACGAATAATGGAAGTTCTCCTGAATGTTCTCCATGCCCTGAATCGACTTCAAAAAGAATAGAATAAGGATCGGGAAGTTAATCAACCAAAAGTAATGTCATCGGCGATGTCGTCGGCGAAGATTGTCCAACCAGTATGCATCGGCGACGATGTGTCGGCGATAGTGTATTATAAACCCAAAGGATTGTTCAGATGCAGCTCAATCAGATTGCGGCGACCGTGTAAAACTATGTAAAAAGGTTGAAGTTGAATAAATTGAGGTTGAATAAAACGACATGCCGGTTCTTGGCTTAGCCGGTGGCCATGGACGAAAATGAAAAAATATTGAGCAGGTACGTGGATTGAGCGTCCCCAATCCATATCACTGTGCAACAGATGCGTCTTCGTTGGATGGAGACATCTGAGGCACACTCCATCCCCCTGCTTGTTTGAAAACTGAAATAATACCAAAATACCAGATTCAACAATGCCATGGAAGTTTTACGTCTATACAGACGTTTCACACACACACCCTGCCGCAGCAGGGTCGTTTTTTGTCCGAGGAACAGCTCAGCAGCGGAGGGCCGTCCAGGCTGGTGGTGTCGTCTCAGATGTGTCAGAA